TTCAGGTGTCTACTGAATATTGTTATTATAAAGTTGTAAAATAAAGTTAACCTTATTACTGTACTTGGAAATGTTACTATGTAGAACCCCTTTGTTTTTGGATATATTTTAAAGTATACTTTCTTTCAGGGTGATTACAAATTAAATAGACAGTTTGTATTTGATTTAATATACAGTTTGTCTATTTCATTTGTAATTACCTTGTATTAAAATTAACTACATGATAATGGTGATTTAATTGTGCCTATTTGAGGTTCCTAACTCAAAAAACAAAATAATAAAAGATTTAAGATTTTTTTAAATACCATTATATTTTTTAAATCTTAATTTATTTTTTATTCTTAAATCCACAGTTTTTAAGAACAAAATTATACTGTATAGCTATTTGAGGATTACATGTATTGTAAAAAAATTTCATTTGTGAAATCTTCACAAAATTTACAATTAGGACAATACATAAACATTAAGGTGTTGAATGAGATTCTACTTATGTTTGACAGTAAATTAAAAATGTTTATCAAAGACGAAAACTTTGAAAAATATTCAAATTCTATTTTGCAAAGTTCCGCTGAAGGTATAAAATATTTTAAGGTTTGTTAATATTTATAAAAAAATAATAATGAAAAATACTAATTTTTTATTAATTTGGCTACTTTAAAAAACAGTCGTAGGTAAAAATTGTTAGCCTATGTTATTTTTATGGAGAAAATTAAAATTGTTATAGTTTACTTGTTAATGGATATATATAATGTTAATCATATTTGGCAAATTTATTTATTTCATCCTATGCCATTAATGTTTGGTCAGAAAAGACATTTACTTTCCCCATAGCAGAAAACCTAAGCACTCGTTAAATCTATTATTTCAATGGGAAAGAAATTTGTCTTTTTTCTGGAATTAGTAAAAATTTTGAAAAGTTTAAATTTGCTTAGTCTGCAGGTTTGTTGTGTTGGGGGGCAGTTATTATTACTATCCATTGGGGTATGCATGGAATCCAGGAGTGTATTTTAACCCTATGAGTAAAGGTTGAATGCATAATGTAGCAGGGCCGCGTTAAGGGTCAGTGGAGCCCTGGGCAAACCCAAGAGTAGCGCCCCCTTTTTTTCTAGTGCTGGCTGGTGTTGGTTTGGGGGCACCCAGCGGGCGCCCCTAAACCACCGGCGCCCCTGGGCATATGCCCAGTCTGCCCGTTTATAAAAGTGGGCCTGTAATGTAGTGAAACGACTTGTGAAGCTTTGTTACAGACTGACCAGCTGTTTCATTATTGAAAGCTCAGTGATCAATGACAACTAGGTCTAGTTTGCTAATCAAAAAGTTTCTGACTATTCTCAGGACTGAACAACGGGAAGTAAAGCTGTTACTCTCCTAGCTGTCTAAGTGAGAACTATGACTGTAACTTTCCATTTGGGGGTTTTTAGCTTAAAAAGTTATATACTTCCAAATTTATATGCAATGCAATAGTGCAATAATAGTTGTGTTGAATATTATTTCAGATTACCGGTAGCCCTAGACAAATTTTTCTGTCGAATATTATATTAGCTATCTAGATAGCTAGTAGCTTATAAGTAAACTATTTCACCAACTCACAGACCCTTCAACCTCTCTAATGGTAGAAGGGTTCTCATAATTTAGAAAACAAAGATAAGATAACTGATACACTAATCTTCTGTTTCCTTTTACTCTGTAAGTATTTGGATGATAATGGTCCATAATGACATACTGTAATGGAGACGTAATAGAGATTATCTGTCTTACCAGAGAATGTTAACCATGCAGTGGTTAAAGAGTGGCCAACAATGCAATTTAAAGGGATGCAAAAACCGATATCTAGATGGATTTGGATCAGTATGTCCAGGCTGCAAGAAGGTCTATCATTTTGAGTGCACAGAAATCGGTGGTCAAGAAATATACGATGGATTGGGCAAGTACCAGCAGCTTTGGAGATGTGATATGTGTGTCGATGTGTTTTCAAAAGAAAATAAAGCAGTGTTAAAAAAGATTACTCAGTTGCAATTAAAAGAAATGTTGTCTGAACAAAGGAAAAGTGGAGAGCAATTAAAGAAATTAAATTACGATTTATCCTGGTCAATGACGAGAGTAGGAAAAAAGTTGGATAAAATGGTTCAGATAATGGAGAAAGTCACAGAAGACTAAGTTAATATTTTGTTGACAAACCATATATACAGTAATAATAACTTACATAAGTGATAATGTTCCAATGAATGAAAACTGTTATTTTCTAGCAAAGCTCACAGTCAATGAAGATCGACAAGTCGTATGCAAGGTAAGACAAATTTAATTAACTTCTGTTATTAAAAAAAGTTTAGAGGTACCTCTTTTAAAAACCAAATACCAGGAAACTGAGCTTTGTTTGGATTGAATAAAATACTTCTTGTATATTAAGTTTACTAGCAGAGTACCCGTCCTTCGTACGGGGTTGGAATATAAGTATAAAATGTTTATTGCAGTTATGCTCATAAGCTTTCTGTTTGCAATGGGGAAGGACACAGTTTGATAACAGTTGCTTCTCTAAATTTAAGGTATACTATAGTATTACACATCTACCATAGAAATAATGTTCTACCAGTAAAAATAAATTATCAAAAATTCGCAAATATCACAAACTATTTATGAAATTAAAAACATAAACATAACTGTAATCAATCCTTCTTTGACAGTTCTCATTGTGTATCACAGTTTTTGTTTCTGCTTAGTTCAAATTTCATAAATGCAAAAAAATAGTGCTGCGCCCTGTTGGTAAATCTTATAACTTTTTATACTGCTTTGCATATTATAGAGCAAACCTTTTTTATTTGAAACAGCTGACTAAAGTATTTTATTCCCTTTAAATATGAATACTCATAAGGTTAACATGGGGCGGTGGGGCACACGGAAGATTTCTCAGGTGCCGTTTGACGTCACTAACTGCTGACGTCACTAACTGCTGCGTCTGAAGAAACAGACAATTTTATAATTTTCTATTATTAAATTAAACTGTCATAACCTAACCAAACTAACCAAACGTACTGATAATGGAAAAATCGAATAAAGGTTTACTAATCTAAAAAATAGTTTTGTTTATAAAATAAAATTATAATTGCCTAAAATTCAATTTTATAATTTTTTAATTATAAAATTAAACTGTCATAACCTAACCAAACCAACCAAACTTGCTGATATGAAAAAATTGTTGATAAAAAGTTAGTGCCGCCGGTGGGATTCGAACCCGGGACATTCGGATATCATCCCGCAACGCTATCCACTGCACCACCGAGGCCGATGGCTCAACACCGTATCGTTGCGGTATTGGTGTTCCCTCAAAGTGACGTCAGCAGTTAGTGACGTCAAAAGGCACCTGAGAAATCTTCCGTGTGCCGTTTCGTAACACGGGGAACTGCCAGCCACTGGGGCGGAGCCTTATGTTCAAGCCAGTACTGAATATTAACATTTTTAGGTTATATTTTTGCAAGTTATCCTGCAATGTACTGTATAATATAACTATGAATAACCTATTATTATTGATATGTATAGATTACGTATAATTGAGACTTCTTTGTTATGTGTATGAATTTTCAAACCAATTATTTTTCTGGGCAATTTGATTTTTTTTTTTTTTATTTGTAAAGCGTATGATAAGTAGTAGAATCATGGAAGATGGCTCAAACAAAAGGAATTAAACTTGGGATGCCTCACAAAATAATGAAGTTACAAAAATGTGAACAGAGAATTAGATACAAGGTAAAATAATTTGTACAAAGAAAAATAATTTGTATAATGAAAGCTTAGCGATTCATTTATCTTATTTTAAGATTAGGTAATGTTATGTTGAGGGGATATAAGACATAGAATAACCACATTATTGTGAGTAAGATTCAAGATTTCATGAAAAAGTTCTGCTTTGTTTATATTTTACAAACATTAATTCCAAAAATTTTTGTAAATCTCTTAACATTTTTATGGTTATTGTAGTGTTTGATCAATTATTTGTATGACAAGAATTAACCTCAATGGCTATTCCTCTTAGAAACTAATCAGGGCATCCTTATATATAATACGTGAAGGCGATTTCTACGAAACAATACTCCTCCGTTAATAATGGACGGATTTTTACAACCGATGTGTAAAAAATTAAGTATTTTTTGTGTAGACCCCCTTTCACCAATATCTGTAATAAAAGTCCTCGGACTTTGCCCTACAAAGCCATCAAAATCCCAATGTATTTCATATAAAGAAAAGATTTTGTTTACTTAAACAGACAAATAATTTGTATATTAATTACTGCTGTTCATTCATAGTAAACATGCATACAAAATCGCTAATTTTGAAAGTGAGTTTGTTTTCAGTTTTGATAAATGGAGTGGAGTGATTAATTAGATTATCTTTGAGTTGACTCTTTTAAGTCATCGGAAATTTGTTATGACTGTTATTTGTTTTGAAATAACGCCTGTAATACTTTGTGATTGCTCAAATTCGAGCAACAGGTGCACTAGGAAAGATAGATGTGCAGGCAATGAACGTTTTTTTATTTAATTTGAAAAATAAATTTATTTCTTACAAAACTGCTAGCATTTTGAAAAAAAAAACACATTTTTACCTTCCCTGTTGTAGCAAACCTAAGTACAAACTAATTCTATTTAAATATGGAAAAAATGTGATATTTTTAAGGAGACATTTTAGTGTAAATCCAATCAGGAAAATGGAAATTTGATAAGTCTGCAGGTTTGCTACAGCGGGGGTGTTTTTGTTTTTATCAATGTCTGTAAGTTTCAAGTCCAAGAAAAAGTAATCAAATTTTCCATGTGAATTTTTTTACATTATATTTGATGTGATAAAAGATGTATTGAATATTATTTCAGCTTATCCAATTTTTTGTGTCAATTATTAAGTCATCTAAAACCGTTTCACCAATTCAAATTCACAGATGATTGGCCTCTTCCTTCAGTCTCTCAAGTGGTAGATAAGGTTATCATCATGAAAAAAGATAAGCCTCTGATACATTAATCTTCTGTTTCCTTTTACTCTGTATGTGAGTTGGTCGATAATGGCTACATCTGTGTTCCCAGAGGAAATGTTAACCATGCGGTATATAAATGGGGAAAATCCATGCAGGTTAAAGGGGTGCAAATACCGATATAGGGGATTTGGAGCAATATGTCCAGGCTGTAAAAAGGTCTATCATGTTGAGTGCACAGAAATAGGTGATCAAGAAATATACGATGGATTGGGCAAGTACCAGCAGCTGTGGAGATGTGATATGTGTGTCGATGTGTTTTCCAAAGAGAATAAAGCAGTGATAAAAAAGATTACTCAGTTGCAATTAAAAGAAATTTTGTCTGAACAAAGGAAGATTACCCAGTTGCAATTAAAATAAATTTTGTCTGAACAAAGGGAAAGTGGACAGCAATTAGAGAAATTAAATTACGATTTATCCTTGTCAATGACGAGAGTAGGAAATAATTTGGATAAAATGGTCCAGATAATGGAGAAAGTCACAGAAGACTAAGTTTTTGTTGACAAACCATATACAGTATACAGTAATAATCACTTTCATAAGCGTTTTATGTTCCGTGAATGAAAACTTTTATCTTCTGGCAAATCTCACAGTCAATGAAGATTGACAAGTCGTATGCAAGGTAAGACAAATTTAATTAACTTCTGTTATTAAAAAAAAGTTTAGAGGTACCTCTTTTAAAAACCAAATACCAGGCAACTGAGCTTTGTTTGGATTGAATAAAATACTTCTTGTATATTAAGTTAGGCTAATTAGCTTAATTTAAAAACCTATACTTTTAATTTACTAAGGTGATTCTTTGCGTCAAAATTGTGGGAGTCTGGAAAGCCGTAGAAAGGTGGGTGATGGATCACATTAAAGGTGTTTACTCCGTGACGGCGGGAAAAATAGTGAAATTTCCACTATAGTGAAATTAATAGTGAAATTTTAGAGGTGTCTCTTTTAAAAACGAATAGTAGGAAATGTACATCAATAGTAGAACTATATGAAGGCAGCGTGTACATGAAATAATGTTTACTTTCATTATTTATTACAAGTTTGGAAATATTAATTTTTTCTTACATTAGAAATAAGTACAAAAGATTTTCCACCCAGTTCATTGAAGTGCATGCCTATAGTTGTCAATACAAATGTATTTTGTTGGTTCATCAACCGATTTGTGTAGTTTTGTTGTCTGGTGATTTTGTATTGTAAATTAAATTTTATCATTGACTTGTGAGTAAGCTGAAGTAGACATCCCATCTAAAATAGACCAGTGCTGTAGCCCATCTTACCACTTGAAAGGTTTTTTTTACAAGATTCTGAATCTTACTACTTGACGGATTTTCATGTTTATTGTCTTGAAAGGAAAATAATTTTGAAAGAAAGGGAATTTTAAAGCCATAGTTTTAGTAAGGTGATGTTGAAGTTTTTCATAAATTGAGTTTAAAAAAAGTTTTAAAAGTCTTATCAGCCGGCGCTATAATATTAAATTTGTTTTATTGTAGTTTGGTTTAACTAAGAGCTGGTTTCAAACTGTCACTAAAATGTTTACGTTACAAGTTGTTTACAAAAATATTGGTCGTCGGTGATATACATATTTTTACGATGTTACTAAATATAGTTTTTCTTACTGCTTTACACGAAATGTCTAATTTTTAACTATATATAATATCCTAAACACTTGCACGGAATCACGCTTACGCCTGTTTCTGTGTAATATTTGTATTGTGTTTAACAATAACAACAGCTGATTAAAATAATAAAAATAAATAGAACTGATAAACTGGATTGCAGTGGGTAAATGGAGAATTAATTGCAGCAAATGGAAGTAAATTTAGAGCAAGGGAAATGTATAAGTTACTGTACGTACCTTTGTTTCTTCTTCAGTCTCAAAAAATAGATTAGTTTCGGGTCACTTTCAAATCAACATCAAATTAATCAATAAATCTGGCAGAAGTCTTCATCAGTACATAAAGCCATCAAGCCGTAACACATAAAGCATAATTTGATGTGGATTTGAACATGGCCGTATCTATCCTAAACTAATCAACCCCATGAACTAAAGACCCTGTCATTTAAGACTAAGGACTGACAAATGTATGTACCCTATATAATTTGTACAATCAGTCTTGGTGGCAAGAATGTGAAAATTGGGTGGACGGTTTACCCTTGCTCTGAATAACAGTTTTAACAATATTAGTTTCTAGCTACTTATGTATGGAGGGATTAAAAATGTGTACAATTATTTTGTTTACAAGTTACCAACATCACTTGACCTTGGAGGTCATTTAATGTCTCACAACTGCTTCTCTAGATCGTTGTCAACCTCCTCAACCATGAAGCCATGAAGCTACTTCCTACCTCCTACTTTTTGTAGTCCTTTGTTAGCTGAATTTCACATATAGGGCTATTAATATAGGTCTCATGGTAGTACCTGGACCTGGGACCGCTTTATTTTGCCGTTTAGAGGTCCCACAAGGCCATAAACCCCCTCCATTCAAATTCATATGTAAGTCAAATTCATTATGTGTGTCCGTTAGCGCGATAACTCGAGCACAAATGATCTGATTTTAATGAAATTTGGCCAACCCTTGTAAACGTATGTTTATTTTAACAAGTTTGCAAACCAGCATGATTGTACTATGGGATCGGGGGTTTATAGAAGGTTACATGGGTTAAGCAATCGTTTTTCCCATTTCTCGAACCTTACATAAAATTTCTCAATTTCCTTCCAAACCATTTTGTAGAACAAATAATACAAAAAATAATATAATCCTACTAATATTATAAATTAGAAAGTTTGGATGTATGGATGTATGGATGTATGTTTGTGACAAGTGAACGCGAAAAATACTGGTCGGATTGGGCTGAAATTTGGCATGATGATAGCTCACATTCCCGATTAACATATAGGCATATTCTTATTTCAAAAATTCTTTCGGGCTCCGCCCCAGTGGCTCTGGAGTTTCCCATGTTAACCATGAGAAATGGAATTATTGAATCTTAACAGCTGTTTCAACTAAACAAGTTGGTTCTGTTCTATGATGTTCAATAGCGTTAAAGTTACAAGGATTACCAATAGGGTGCAGCACTATTATTTCTTTTACATTTTTGACAACAGCTAATTTGCAACCAAAAGGTGAGTGAGCGTAGCGAACGAACTTTAACCTGGAGGCGAGTTAGCGTAGTGAACGAGCTAACCTGAAGGCAAGTGAGCGCAGCGAACGAGCTCCAACCTAAAGGTGAGTGAGCGTAGCGAACAAACTTTAACCAGGACGTGATTGAGCCATGCGAACGAGATAATCTTGAAAATTAAGAAGTTAATCGGGGCAAAGCCCGCGGGTTACAGCTAGTTAATAATAAACTAGTGTACCTGTTGCTCGAATGCGAGCAATTGCTAAGTATTACAGGCGTTATTTAAAACGAATAACAGTCATATTTTCTGATGACTTTAAAAGATTCGACTCAAAGATTATGGAAATACTCAAGATGTACATAACAGATCGATATAATCAACATTTCTTGTAAATATCTGATCATTTTTCAAAAGCTGATCTTTTTTCAGTGTTTTCTACAAATAGCCTTTTACTCATAGACACATTAGGTTGTCCATAATAACAATTATAAAAAAAACATTATTTCTATTTCTTCTCCTTGGTGGTGTTCTATGACTTTCCTGTTTCCATAGTTTGTGAATCGGCTCTTTCAATGATTACTAAGAAATGCAGCACAGTGTTAATTCAGTTTTCTTTTTAGTATATCAAAATATCCAGGCTCTCTCACTTTTTTTCATTGTTATATTTACGCCAATTTAAATTTAAATAGTAAATATTTCATTTCAACCAAGTCAGTAAATGTTTGTAGCAAACGGTTAAATTAGCAAACTTATTGACTGTTTACAATTAACATAAACACATTCTTCTTCTCTAACATTAACATTCTTCTTCTCACTTGTAATTTCTGACAACAAGTGGAGTTTCATAACAATGTTTGTTTCCCGTGTTAATCTTATGGAGAAATACGAAGCTTTAAAGGGCCCCAGGGCCTCACTCTCTATTTATTTCCCTAAAAATAAAGTTTCCTGCACAACTTCACGTTGAGCTCTTTCCAATGACACTAAAAAACATGTCAATCGGTTCAGTAGTTTCGGAGGAGTAATTGTCACAAAAACCTGCTTGCGTATTAAATAAGTAATAGATAATATAGTTAAATGAAGCGCTTTTGTAAGTCTATTCCCATGTTATTCTTATGGAGAATTTCTTATTGGACATCCATGAATGTATCTTGAAATCTCCGCAAAATCTTTGATGATGTTCCGTGATCACGGCCGTTATCATTTCATGTGATCGCGGCAATGTAATCGTTTCCTCCGTAGTTGTGATTTTCAACTACACAAAAAGAGAAAAATCGCTGATTTTGGGCGGAGTTTTGGCTAATATTCAAACATTTAAGTATCCGGGTACATGCAAAATTCAAGGATTTTTCTCTGCAATCAAAATTTAGTACAATTACTGCATTCCAGTTTGGCTGGACACCCTGAGTAAACAAATCACAGAGCACCCAGTGGCAGTGCAGAGAAGTAACGTTGAAAAAACCTCTTTGCGCATGCGCAGCAGAAAAGTTCTGCATGAGGATATTTAAAACGTCCGAGAGGGGAATCCATAAAATCTATCGGCGAACTCAAGCAGACTCTGGCAGACGGACGGATTTCTGTGTGCGTTATCAGAATATTTGACCACATAGGGAGCAAATTTTAGTCTGTTCTAAAAACAGTAGTAAGGTTCTCACGGTTCACTTAGAACCTGGGATTTGACGGATAATGAGAACCTGTGAATGAGGGTGCACAATAAGCTGTTCTAGCTGTGATGCATTCCCATGGTCACTTGTAAGCCTGGCCCTCTATTAAAAAAAAAATTTAGTCTGTCCGTCTGGGTTTGTCCGTCTGTCATGTGCATCTGCCAAGACAGTCTGGTCTGGTGGTGTGTGGGGGGCTTTAGACTCAAATCTGAAGGGCTGGTTCAATTCCTAGTGAAATTGTTTCCAGAACCATGTCATTTTTTATTGGGCTATCAGTTAATGATATCATCTAACAAGATGTTTTATATTGGATAGTAAGAAGAGGTTAAGACCTGAACCATTCCTTTACAAAAAAACATTAAATGTTTTTCAGGCTTAGATATACACAAAATGAAGTAAAATATAATCAACTCAAATTCTGATGTAGCTAAACTTAAGGACATTGTTTAGACCTATTTGAGGATTAAGGAAAAAGAGCAACAATTTATGAGACAAGACGCAGGATCTAACCTTGAGCTTCAGGATGAGATGTCTCCTGAGATATGATTCTGACAAGGCATTGTGACAGGACACTTATAATTATAATTATTATGATTTAATTGTTGATATAAAACTGTGACAATGTGAGGGTATATCAGTTGCAACATGGCAGCTGCAAGAAAGGTAACGTAATATGATCATATTAGTATTTCCAAAGTTTTTATAGGAAAAAGGTTGAACTTGTAGGTAGTACTCCTTATTGACCCTTTATTCAGTGGCAGGAATTTATCATGCACTATGCCGAAAAATCAAAGAACACAGTGAGAAAAACTTTCACAACACATTTACCATGAGTCTTGATAATAATAGCAGGATTCCCTTAGACTATTTTTCTTTTTGTTTTTAAAATTCCAACTATTTCTTGTAGATTTCAATTGTTTTATTTAAGTTGCAGAATACCTAAAAAGTAATTAGAAACACTAAAACTACAATTATTTCTCTAGGCCCTTTGTTCACAAGTTAGATACTTGTTTAAACAATGCTAATAAAACTACAAAATGTTGGTCACAAGCCATGTTCTGTTATCGGTACTTATTACAGATAACACATGAGTGGATGGCGACATCCTCATACAGATAATACACCCATTTATGCAATCATTCTCATTCTATCTAAAAACATGGCTCTTACATCTCGGCAGGAACTTGTTAAATGTGATAGTGATTTATGTATAGCTCCATATACAGATGAGGGTAGATTAAATATGAAGACAATTGATGCAATTGAGTGTGGACAATGCCACAACACATATCATTTGCGTTGCACAGATATTTATAACAAAGACACTTGGAAAAGAATGCATAAATACAGAGACATGTGGAGGTGTGAGAAATGTGAAATACCAGGTTCAAATGAAAGCAAGTTGGTCATGATGAAGTTGGCGACTTTAAAACTCCACGACATAAAGTTGGCGACTTTAAAACTCCACGACATAATGATGGAACAATAAGGATTTGGTTTCTAAGATGCTTTTATGTAAGTAACTACTTCTTTTTATTATTGTATCCATCCGCGCCAGTGACATAATTATCAGGAGGAAAGAGTAATTTGCTGTGGAGAAAGAGAATAATTTGTGAGACTATGTGATAATTATTTCTGAAAAATGTGATTTTCCCCTAAAAGGGAGAATTTAATTAATACTAACTGAAATAGTGAAATTCTTATTAGTGGAGTAGTCTTCTTAATTTTCCAGTGTAGGAACGCTCACCATTTTCACAGAAAAATACAGGTCGCTTACCAATTTTTTAACCTAACCATTTACACTGTTAGCACACTATCTAAGTGGCACATTCATCTGCTTCCTTTTGTAGACAAGGGCTACAGAGATGGTCCATATAAATATGTCTACTTCAGTATATAAAAATGAATGGAGACTTTGGAGGTTGTGTGAAATGAAAAAAATGTCTTTCAAAAACCTGTTTTAAAACATTCTATCCAAACAAATTTTTAAAGATTTTTTACTTTCTTGTAGAATGTAGAGTAATCTATCTATCTATATATTAATAGGCAAGCATGTTTCTTTAAAACCTTTTTTCTCAGCTTGTGTGCATCGTGGGGTAAATCTGCGCATACCGTTAGAAAGCAATTTTCCTGTAGGTGTGCAGAATCCCTTTATAAATTTAAATAGGCTCAAAGATAAGCACAAAAAATGAGATTGAAAATTTGAAAAAATTAACATGGATTTTATGCGTTGCCATGCTGGTGACGAAATAACAACGAAATATAAACAGAAAATCAAAACAAATGGAAGAAACTCCAATCACATGTTTTATTTACAGTGTGGGGTGAAAATAGAGAAGTGAGTACATTACATATTTTTGGTCGAGTTTCGACCACTGGACGACCTCTCGTACTTATTTAATACGCAAGCAGGATTTTTGTGACAATTACTCCTCCGAAACTACTGAACTGATTAACATGTTTTGGTGTCATTGGAAAGAGCGTAACGTGAAGTTGTGCAGAAAACTTTCTTTTTAGGTAAATAATTAGAGAGTGAGGCCCTGGGGCCCTTTAAAGTTTCGTATTTCTCCATAAGATTAACATGGGAAACAAAGATTGTTATTAAACTACAGCTGTTGCCAGAAATGCTGTTCTGCTATTTAATTTAATTTGTTTACCAGGAGAATTGTTTCGTTGGTGCCATGTGGTCAATGAATTATACTTTTGCATATATTTTAAATGTTATACACTATATAAAATGATAGTACTGTAATACATTAAGAGATCTTAATTTAAATAATCAATAAGCAGGATTGAGCTTTTGCCTATATGTTTCCTGTGGCAAGTGTGTTGTATCTGGTTCCGTTTCCCATAGTATATTATAGTATCTAAAAGTAAAACCGAATTTTTCTTTTCTGCATTCTCACCCCGTAGCGAAGCACGGGCAGAGCAACTAGTGTTATTTTAAACTACGATTTTTTTCAGGTCTTCCAAGCTGCTCTCCTCTTCATAGTTCTACTCCAGATGTCTTCTGTTCTTGGCCAGTACTACATGCCTGTCCCAGTACCAGTTCCAGTGCCTCAACCATATGGTTATGGGGGTTACGGGGGCTACAGTGGAGGTGGACTTCCATATGGTGGATATTCTAATCCTATAGGGGGGTATTCCCGTACCAGTGTGATTGAAAGAAGAGGAGGTATTTTGGGTTAAATATCGCTTTAAACGTTACTATGGACAATACTTATTTTATTTTGGAAACTATACACCTATATTTGGGATCATACATTTTATTTTATATTTGGGAAACTTTATGTTATTTTTTAACAATTATTCAACTTATTATTGTTATATTTCTATATTACACTTGATTTGCTATGTTATCATTTACAAGATGTATCTCGCATTATTGTATTGTAATAAACTTATTCTATCATGAAATAGTCTTTTGTATTCTTTGAAACTTGAGAGTATTCCAATTAATTCATTTTTTTTTTTTTATCAAAATAAGCATTGAATGCGTTTTGTAGTTCTGGTTTTTATGTTTATAATTTATTGACACGGAAAATCAGTAACAAATCAGTGAAATATAAACAGTTAAAATAACTATAGTGTAAAAAATCTTGGAAACGTATAAATTATAATCCGAACAGAAAATTTTGTTATTGTTCTCCTATAAAGAAAGTTTATTGAGTCTCTTATTTTAATTGTTATACAGCTGTTTTTGTTTTTAAGTTTGTTTTCAATGTAATTCTTATGGGCGAAAATGCGACCTTTGAGAGCGTCTCGTGCCCTTAAGAGTTTTTAAATTCTAAAACCTTTATGCAAAACTACGAATTGAGACGAATTATTTTACACCTCAAACGTTAAAATCAATCCAGAAATAACGAAGGAGTTTTGTTCACAAAAAACAGCCCTCACGTATTAATATAAGAGATAATATTAAGTATGATAAATAAGCTACCAACCATGTAGAAAATTCTCTTTAGAATTTAAAGTTCTTACTCTTCCATTAATGTAAATTCTTGAAACTCTCAACTCTGTCAAACAAAAGCATCCTCTATTAACTGATTTGGAAAACGCCAGCAATTTATATATTCCCTTTGGAATTCAATGTAGTTAATCTCTAAACATGCTAAATCTATCTTGAAACAACTTTGTTTATACAAAGGCATCCATTTTAATAAAGGCCTTCCCCTTTCTTTAAAATTGGAATCAGACCTTAAAAGATATTATAAGATGCTTAGAAACAGTTAATTAATATCTCCTGTTACAGCATCTAAGTTTTTGGACCAAAGGAACTAAACTGTTGTAAACCCTGGTGTGTAGATAGTAGTAGTAAGATGATATCAATAGTAGCAGCAATTGTTCATAATACCTTTGGCTTTGACCATGCATCTCCTAGCCCAGGGGTCTCCAACCTACAGCCCGCAAAGGCCTAAAAGAAATATTATTTTTACATGATGGTATACATAGATGATCGCCAAAGTCTCGGCAAGACTTGAGTGTGTATCTTCCGGTCGCGGCAATACCTTAACAGTTACTCACGATTTCAGTAACACTCGTAAGTAAATGATGCGATCTTCGGCGACACCGTGATCATCGCAAACGGACGTGGCGATACCCGCAAGTAAATGTTGTAGTCTTCAGGTACACTGTAATCATCACTAACGGTCGCGGTAACACTTGTGAGTATATTTTGCTGTTTTGGCGATACAATAATTTTCACTTGCGATCACAGCAATGCCCATGAGTAAATGTTGCAGTCTCGGCAATACCGTGATCATCACTCGCAAATGGTGGCAACACCCGTATATTTAATTAGTAAATGTTGCTGTTTCCGCGATACCGTGATCGTCACTCGTTATCGTGACATCAACCGTAAATAATTAGTAAATGTAAGCAACTAAAAAACACAAAAAATATGTCAAAAATCACGGTGAGCTCTTAATTAGAAAACTTTCTGTTTTGGATTATTTTTAGGCGGGGCTACCTTTAGGCATTTAAATGTTAACGGTCCAGCCCCGCCTTCCCTCCAAAAATTGCAAAGCGGCCCTTGGGTGAAAGAGGTTGGAAACCACTGTCCTAGCCTAACAGGAACAAAAATGGTAATTATTTTCCTGTATGAATTTTGATGTATTTTCTTCAAGTTAAATTTGTGCATTTCAATATGGTTGTGAATTAAGTGTGTATATTTTAGAAAAAAAGTATAATGCACTTTTTTTATTTTTAGCCAATTTTTCCAAATATCTTGGCATTATCATACCCAACCCCCAGCTTGTCTACATTATGACGAGTGTGTGGAACCGTGGCCTACTGTATTTATTTTGAACAGAGTAAAATAACTTAAAGGTTAAAAAATCACACAAATTGCAGCAGGTGAAATAAAACACACAGTCCCTGTTTTTTTTTTTTTTTTTAGCTGTGTCACGTTTACTAAGGAGTCAATTGCAACAATGCAACAAAGTAAAAACAGAGACCTAAACAGTTTAACAGTTAACATTATGACTAGTAAACACTAAATAGACTTAATACTAAGGTCAACATACGCCTTACTTTAACATCAACAAGGATAAATGCCTAGAAACTTAACAGCTATAATGAATGGAATAGAGATTTAACAGCTAACTGGTCGACTAATAATAAACAAACAATACTTTACCACTGGACTGTTTAGGACGCTAAGAGAATGTTTACAGATATACGAGTATTTCGGTTAAATGCATTGCTACGATGGCACTGAAGGGAGGTGACTAGAATGCAGCACGTTGGAGATTCAATACTTAAGCCCACACCTGTAACAGTTTTGTTAAATTATTGATAGTTGGTGATTACAAATAAATACTAAGTAGAGTACCCAGTGACATTCCCTCCATTCAGGGTGGTGGGGTGTTCAGCTCTGCTAGTGTTGATTAAGTTCATAGATCTTTCACCTGCCTGTAGCTTGTGGTTGTGACTGAGTCCTACCTGTTGTGTACGACTGACATTTTGTGAGGCATATCCTCGACTTTGGAAGTAGCCTCGTCCTGGGAGGTGAAATACCTAGCCCCCAGAAGGGAGGTAAATGCTCGGTGTTGGTATCGGCATTTTCAAGTAGGCCACAGACATGGACGACTGGGCATTGGGTCCCAGTGACATTCCTTTATCCAGGATGGAGGGGTGTTTAGCTCTAGGAGAGATGGAAGTGCATCATAATCTCTAACCTACCTGTGTCTGTGGTTCTTTGGGCTTCGGCCTGCTTGTTGTGTGCGACCAGCATTCAGTGGGCAAATCCTCGACTTTGGAAGTAACCTTTCCTGGAGGTGAAAACGGGCAAGTACCCGCAGCTCACGGGGACACTCAAGGGCAACGTAACTTTCCGCAGTGTGAGGGCAACGGTTTGTAGGCACTTATGCAAACCAATCCCTGTCTCTGAGCACGGACGGTATGGTTATCTTGAGTGTGGGGGGTTCTTCCCGGAACCTCAATTGAGTCAAGGGTGTCACCACCTCTGGTGGATAGGTTCATCCGGGTGGGTCCCACTTCTATACCTGCCTCCTTTTGGGAAACCCTGATGGCCTGGCAGTGATGTTGGGTCTGACGGGCAAACGAAGTAGATCGGGTGCTGGGTCCGAGCCCGCCAGGGGTATCTGGGGATCTATCGCTCTGGTTATCTCTGGTTTCCCAGCAATGGGTAAGGCCTCGATCGGGTAGTGGTGTAAATGGGAGGTTGGGGTTCCCCCCGTCAGCGTGCTGACGGTCCCCTTCCTCCTGGCTATTGATGGCGGTTTCTGCCTGTCAGGGATTAGATAGGTCCCGAGTGTTGCTTGCACTAAATGCGTCGGGGCGCTCTACCATGGACCTCTAGGTCCCGACCTAGTGGAACCCAGGTGGAGTGACGCTTAAACAAGCAGCCGGAATCCCTGGTTAGGATTGAGGGGCAACCCTCCTTCCGAAGGGTCTGCTTCGGCAGCCGGCGAGCCTGATGACCTTAAGTCATCCGCCCATGATGTGCTAAAGGTTGATGCGTAAGCTTCGGCCTACATCATGGGGCCCGGGTATGTCCTCAAGGATAGGTACCGGGTATGCAGTCAGGGGGCTTCGGCTCTCATGACAAATAATGTAATGTAAAATAGGGCCTATGTTGAACCTTTGGTTGATGGAATTAGGGATTCCGTCACCAGTTCTAAAATAAAAATAGATGTAGTTGAATTGAGTTACCAACAGAGTGCGCTGATGTAAATTTCTGCGAATGTGCGAGCTTTTAAACCAATTTAAACTGACAAGACAACTTATTGTAAGCTACAACATATTTCATGTCACATCAACTTCTCAGTAAAAGTAAAAAACCATAAGTTATATGGTATAATTCCAGCCAGTATGACACTCAGTGAGTGGTACACTCAACTATGTTCTTTTTTAATAAAAAAAATAGGCTACAAGAATAGGTGGGTTGTCTACTTCAGTATCCAAAAATTGTTTTTTGTGTTTGCTTGCTATGCACTATGCAGGGTGAATAAAAAGTCAAGAAATAGATGATATTTCCAATTCAGTAACTAAAAGTCAATAATTGCACTTTCCCCACTCACCCGCAAAGTGTAGTCCCAGGATCCTGTAGAGAGAGCTGTCCCATCTGGGGATACTTGCAGACATGACACTCGGTTCTCGTGTCCGTACAACAAACTGACTCGGACACATTTCAGTGAGTCCCAGACGTTCACTGTGTAGTCATTGTAGCCGGCAAACAGCAAACGACCTGACAAACAAAACCAATTGAATAACAATCCTCCTGTTCTTTGTTCGAAGTTCATTGTTGCTTATGTTAAATTTACAGTACCTAACAGATTATTGTGAATTTTTTTTATCACGTTAAAAATCAACTGTTAAAAAGTGCACTTCCACAGCTTCGAGCAGCCACGTCCCAGGAGGCCAGTGACTGTATAGTTGAGAAAAGCCACCCATTGTGTCTGTTTTAGCCACCCGAGTCGCTCATTTTCGGCCACACCGCCAGCCACTGAAGTGTAACAGGATTCCATTTGATTCAGTGTAAACACTTTCACCTGTAGCTAACCCCCGTAGTGTAAAGCCCCCCATACACTATCGAACATGCCACCCGACCTGAAAACCTGACCTGACGACGGACCCATCATCCAACCTGACTTATGTCGGGTGTTTCCCACACACTATCGAGCATGTTACCCAACAAGTCAGGTGAAATATTAGTTCTGAGATAGATTTTGATCCGACTGTTAGCTGTTTTAGGGGGATTTTTAGCGATGATTTTAGGGATTTTTAGAGCCTATGGAACTAGGCTCTTAAATTTTCAATTTTATTTTTAACGAACTTTAAATTACACTCTGGATACAGTTCCTTGCACTTTTCCATCAGGATATCGTGCCCCTATGTGCATGTTTGTTGCAATAGAGTTTACTTTTGACATCCCACAACGCCTTCTGGTCTCTGTAGAGTTAAATAAATTCTGACCAGAACTGTTTATTATTATTAAATGACATTATGGAAAAATGGGACGGTTATCACGCACAACTCGCTAAATACAAGTTAACTGGAAACACACGGTCCAACATGTCAGGCGGACGGCTCGAGTCGGGTGGTGCTACCGGACCGAGCATCCGACCTGACATATCCGTCGAGCATGTCGGGTTGGAACCCACACACTGTCCAATATGTTCGACAAGACGTCGGATCCCGACATGTCCGTCCAACATGTTGGATAGTGTATGGGGGGCTTAACAGGGGCCTAACAATCAAAAGGTTGCTGGTTTAGTGGTTTGATCCTGAAATAAGTCAGTAGCTTTTTGATGGTTCGAAACTGGATCCACTTGTTCCTGATCATTGGGCTTTAAATAAATGATCCTGACTAATGAAACAGCTGATCTTAGTCAGTAACAAAGCTACACAGATCATCCCACACCATTCTACACTCATCGTTCACTCATATTTTGGTTTAAATACGCACATCGGAGGCGTCCCCATCTCAATGGTTGATAATTCATAATAACACACTTATTCATTTTGCTTGACAATCTTTGAACACAACTTAAAAATAAGCTGTTACTGAATGACATGTTCTGCACTCAAAAATACTTACCACTGACAGAAAAGTCCACCGAGTTAGCTCCAAATATGATACTTTCCTTTGTGTAAACTGCAACTTCTTTATCAGCTCGGAGATCAAATAAACGACACTGAAAAAATTAGTTTTGGTGAACTAGCTTACTATGCAGGACCAGTTTCAAGAGTAAAACAGTAATGACTTCAAAAATTTAGCTTGTTCTAAGCAAAGTAATCCTAGGTACCTATTGCCTTTTAAAGACCTACTTCCTAATATTATTGTTTTTTTTTTTCAAGAATTAGAAATGTTGTCAAATTATTTCAGCTTTACCAAAATAAAAATTAATCATGTATCTGTTTCCTCTTTTATCATTTTCTTTTCAATCTACTCTCTGAAGGAATCATATATTAGGACAAAATATTAGTGTCATGTTTTGTGACCTTTTAAAGTATAACAAACGCTGGATTCAGGGAGGAGCTTATTTTATCAAGTAAGCTAGCTGAACTCCGTCCAATTTTAGTAAATACAGTCTTTGTTTAAAACTTGTTTTTATATTCTATGATTGCTGTATTCCTACCTTCTCCAAAACAGTCCCACTGTCTCTAAAGTCTTTGAAACTTTTTTTGGTCCAGTTTAATGATTTTTGACGTTTCACAATGGTTTTCAATTTAAATGCTCTGCTATACAACTTTTTTTTGTTCAAACTTGCCGCAGCTGTTTTGGATTGTATAATCGAGACTAATGCCTACATATTTTTTCACATGTGCATGACAGGACACATAAATCTAGCAACTTATTTGGACTAAGTAAATGTTTTATACATCAAAATTATTTAATGCTGAAATAAAAACAACTCACGGTAGAATCGTCGGAGCCTGTAGCTACTGCGTCTCCGCTGGGATGGAACTTGACGCTGTTGATGTCAGATAGATGACCTTCAAAACTCTGCACGCACTGACCAGTTCGCATGTCCCAGATCAGCACCATCTTATCACAACTCTAAAACATACATAACGATAACATAGTTACCTGTTGCCACAATAACATTTCTCTTACCTATTGCTGAACATTTTTCACCAAATGAGTTTTTATTCATATTTTTATATTTTTAAGGATCATTTTGGGAATTTAAAACTTCTCCATCAATGTCCCTATTTGTGTCATATTGATTTCTTGTGCCTTTCGACACGATATGTCTACAATCAAAATAAAATCCAAAAAAGACAAATCTGTGACTAACGTAAAAAGAAGCAAAACAGGTATTGTTTGCAATTATATTAAACCAACTAATGACATCACGCCAGCCAAGTCAGACATCGTTCGTCTAAGGTAGGCCCTCCAACCGGCTAATCCACTAATTAGTTAGCTTACAGATTGCACACATAAGGGAACCGAGCATTTAGAACCTCAGAGATGCGCTATTCAGTACAACGAGTTGGTCAATTCAATTTAGCCTCAACCGTGTATTTGTCCGCACAGGATGAATAACGTTCAAGCCTGAATGCGACATTATTTCTCACAAGTGAGGTAAAAAAACTGAGGGGCCACTGCGCCACTAAATACCATGATACGACTATGTTGAGGAGTTAATGGTACTCTTTGAGCCTTTGATATCATTTATTAATGTAATTGGTCTTAGTCAGTAACAAAGCTACACAGATCACCTCACACCATTCTACTTTCGTCCTTATTTGGGATCAAATATGCACCTAGGTGGCGTCCCCATCTCAATGATTGATAATTGATAATTGGGGACACTCAGGTCTTATCTGAAAAGGTGAGGACTTTTTGGGCAGATCAAGGGAATAACCTGGAATTGAGCGACTTTTTTGGGTGGAATATACAACTACTGACATATCCTACAAGACTTTTATGGGATACAACTTAAATAGGGAGGACTTTATCGGGAGATGTGGGATATCCTGACTACTGAAATATTTTGGATTGTTCAGAGAGATTGACGATATTTGGGCCAACACCTAATCATCACAAACTTTCTGGCAAGATGAGGGACATCCAAGACTCAAGTGAAATAAAGAGAACTTACATTGAAATGTAAAAAAATAAAATATTAAAGGGATATCAAGCATATATGGGACACATTTTCAATGTAGGGACTTTAAGGACATTAGGTATATCTGGGACACATCTGAAGTACCTGTAGTAAATGTTTATTTATTATTAATGATTTTGCCTATTGATCCGTAGTTCGCTTGTAAGCCACAACCTTCTCGCCATTTACTCTAATACAGCATTTCCATTTTTTTAGTAAGATGGGCTGCGCAAGTACCTATGGACTACAAACACCCTGTTGTTACAGTAAACTTAGTTTGTTTGACAATATGGTTCGACTAACCCCAGATACAAAGGTGTTGCCAGTCTCGGAGGGTGCCAGGTCGAGGGCCATGACATCACTAGCGTGTCCGTGGAAAGTCTGCAACAGCTGCCCAGACTCTACGTCCCACAAAGCACAGGTAGAGTCTCCGCTACCAGTGAGGATCTAATGGTCAGAAGAATAAAGATATTTATTCCATATTTCTTGTAAATGAGAATTTTACAAAACTTCAAATTAAAATCCTATGTTTTAGTTATATTTTCAATCATAATTTTCTGTGTGGAACACTTTTTTACCTTTGTGTCACCAGCTCCTCATCACACAAGTTTGAATTCTTTCTTTCCTGAGTTTAAATTATACAAGGGTGGTTTTTTGTGTATGGGCCGTTTTTGCCTATTGATCCGTAGTTCACTTGTAAGCCGCAGCGTGGCTTCTCATCATTTGCTGGCATCAGTTGTGAACAGAATGATACTATTTGCAACTCTATAGCTGTCATGTACGTACAGTCCCAGCCACGTAAGGAGGTCCAGGTAGACCCGGTCAGGCCTAATCTGCTGTTGTCAAATCATAGCTATTGTTGTGAAGCCGAGGGGGTGAGCTAATCCGTCTTAGCGGTAATTGCTACTGCCTAACTAATTCTTAGAAATAACTCGGCCCAGTAAAGATTTTATAAATTGAATGGGTGATAGCCTATAATTTTTAGTGGCAAGTCATTTTATTCACAACCTGAAGACGAATATCATAGGCTAAAACTTGAATCACAATTCTACGACACTCCGTTGTTTGGCTATTTGATTTACAGAATTTGTTCTGGGCCGACTTATTTCTAAGAATTTAAGGGAGGTAGTGGCAATGACCACTGGAACGGGATAGCACGCCCCAAAATGGCTTCACAACAATAGGCCCTATTTATGTTTTGACAAGGGCAGATTAGGCCTCTGGACTGTAATCTTCACTGTGTAAAAAAATTGTTAAAACAATCAAATCCCCAGTGCGTTCAAGAAAAGGTCAGTGATACTTTTTTTACTACACGAACATATCCGATGCCAGATGATTGAGTTTATAAGCATGATAGCAATGATAACAGAGAAAGTGCAGATATAGGCTAAGGAGTTAAAAAATTACCGTGAAAATGTTCATTGTGTTTTTGATGGGTACCCAGACCTCGCACAGAAGACCCAAAGGAAAATGAATTTCACGGCCATTTTTAATCCACTCATAAGGTTTTTAAGAAAATGTATATAAGAATGTATAACTAAGCCATAGGTTCCAAAATCTAAAGTACAGTCTCTTTCAAAAGTTGACTTCACAATGTACATGATTACTTGATCTGGCAGTGACTGTACTTTTGGATATACTGAATTTCTAAGCTAAATAAACACTTTTGGACCCTGAAAATTATTTTGTAGAGCTACTGATATGAAATGAAAAGTTTTGAACCTACTGAAATTGGACCCTGTGAAATGCTCCAATTGAGAATGCTCAAAATGTGAATTTTTACTGGATAAAAATGTGTTCAAAACACATGTATACCTGTTGGTCAGAGTTGGGAAAGGTACAGCAAGACATGTAGCTTGTGTGAGTTCCAACTGTTTTCTTCTTGGCTGCCACATCTTCATCTAAAGCCAGCGAGTAAACGGTGACTTTGTTATCAAGACCCCTGAAATCATTCGTAAACACTTTAGTTCTTTAAGTAAACAAAATTGTAAATGTATTGTATATAGTATTTATACAACAGTTGTACACAGTAGGCTACTCAAGCCTGAAAATGGTTCCCTAAGATTTGTTGCAAGTAAAGATAAGATTGGTTTCTTAAACAACAAAGTAGGAATTATAGACAGCTGTTAGTATTTCTATTGGAATATTTTAAATCCATATAGCTAGAGTAAAATACTAGGTATGTTTTATGTGTAGTCGTCAAGAGCAGTGTTTTATTTGACAAGTATCTGTGACAAGTACCTGATAGGAAAATAATCAGTTCTATAATTTGAGATACATGTAGGTACTCATTTAGGCTTCAATTAAACATTTGGGAAGTGTGCCGTCCTGTAAACCTACCTGCTAAGAAATTAGAGCGGTAGAGGTTTATATGCAAATTAAGATTTTGATGAACAATAGACGGAAGAATATTGGTGGTGAGTTCACAGGACGACAAAAGTAACAATGAAGTAACCAGAAAAAAATCAATGTTTGTTTCCAAAAGTGGTCCTACTTATTGCGCGTTATAACTGTTATCACTTTATTAAGGTATATTATGTGTACTGATAAACACAGGATGCCAGTAGAACAAAGTAAAATTACCTATGTAGCTTTGTTAGACAAAAGTGAGCTGTTGGCCCAAACACCTTCAGATTAAAGGCAGCTAAGTCTGATTTTGCACCGTTTAAGCTATCAACATACATCTAAAAAATTTGCAAAATGCTCCAGAAAAACCACACTTAAAACTCCTGCTTAGCATCAGATTTTAGTTGCAAACTTACCCACAAGCCACCATTCCCCCCGTAGGTGCGTAGGCGCACGCCATCACCCATGTCGTTGGCATAGTCACCGCATGCTCTTTGTTAGTTGTGAATGCGTCCCAAATAATCATCTTACCATCCTATAAAACCACCACCAGTCTAGTCAAGTAAGCATCGAAAAAATATTTAACTAATCCAAACTTCAATACATATTTTTTTCAAACTGCAGTAAAAACCAACGTTTTAATGAATAATATACCATAACACATTTTCAGCACAATACTTATAAAACTTATAATGATAACAACTATGTCAGTTAACAAACAGTTTATTAAGGAATTTACTATTTTTTGTTGATACACAAAATTGAATTCAACACTGCACAGTAAATTTCCAAATCCATTTTGAAAACTACAACAAACTGTAGGCACTAGTCTAACTCATCGAATCACCCTGTCAGGTACAAATAGGAAAGAGCAAGCAACTTACTTGAGAGGAAGATACAATATGTCGCTTATCAGGCGACCAATCGGAACATAACACTTTGGCTTGATGCCCTTTGAGTACCCTCCGAGGTTTTATATTCAAGTAGTTAATAACATCTAGTCTTTCTGCAACTGTGCTCACTGGAAATAAACAACATTTTTAAAGTACGCCTAGTTTAATTTGGATGCAGCTCTATGAAGTTCCTTTCGTTTAAAATTTTAAAATATTTACAAGTGTATGAAGTAGGGCCTACAGTAATTCATCACTCAATTATGGGAAAACAGAGATTTTTATTTTATTTATTTTCTTTCTTAGACCTTACCCTTATTATTTAACACATTTGTTGTCATTGTGCCTTCCTCAAGCTATCAAACTCCTAGAGACCAACTCAATTGCAGGTTTCTTTTCTCATAAATTAGCCAATTGTAAAAATTTAAGGGGATTTCCTGGTAAACTTGGCGAGCTTGCTAAACATACTACATCCAGCTGGGTCTGTTAGGACCACCCAGTTGCGTACAGTACTTAGGGTTTGCAGTAAGTACTACAGTTTATTTGCAGGATTTATTAAGTATTTTATCTGGTTAAGCTTTGGTTTCTTCTTTTCCTGGTCATAAACATAAACTTAAACAACTTAAAGCTAATATTGGAGTATCTAATAAGATATTGACTTAAATAGGGCCAGTGCTCAACTGATGGGTTATTATATGGGAAAGTGTAAACATGCCTTGAAGGCCTAGGTATCCAAGAATCTAACCAAAAATACAGTACAGTACTTAGACAAAACAGCCTGTGGAATTATAACATAGCCGGCGGTTTCAACTAATCACACACATTAAGACTGCACAACTAACTTAAAGTATTACTCTCCTCTTTTAATTAAAACCATTCCTAATTTAATTTAATCCACTGCGCCTGTGTGTGGGCGCTCTGGCTAATAAATAAATAACATCTTTATTTATCCTTCATTAACTTATGGCATAATGCAACACATACCGTACACTATCATAAAAAACTGTAATGAACACTTAAGATTAGGCCTATGGTAGAAGGTCGTAGAAGAATGGAATGGAAATGGGAAGTACTTTTCAATATCACATGTCCCATGTAAGGTATTGTATAAAAATAAACATCAGTTATCAAGTAATTTGACTATTGGCTACCACGCTACCAGAAAACCAATAACCCACTGAGGTCCAGAACAAAATAAGAAATGGCAAAGGGAGATCACACTTGTGGCGCCCACAACGCCAGTCCATGTATGACGCCAAAATCTACAACATTCTGCTGATTCAAGAGATCCACAGGCGTCATACTGTCGCTCTTGTCAGGTTAGCAAGTTTGCTGAAGTTGCAAGTTATATTTAGAATAAAGACTAAAGAGTGACAACATGCGTTCTATTGCAAGTCTTTTCTCTTGGTGTGGTTTTATCAATTCAACAACGACTGATCAAAATGTAAAATAACTTAGGCCCTACTGGCTACTACTCATAAGAAAGACGGCAATGAAAGTTCCATGTGGTACTAGCCTATTTTTAGACTTAGAAAGACAACAAAAGTGCAGGGTAAAGTTTTTAAGGAGAGTTTAAAAACATTAGGGCTTACATTACACATTCATCTAAAGAGACTCCACTCCAAATTCATTTGAAATTTGTAGCTAGAAATTAAAAATTATACAATATGAGAGCCTAATCTTGGTACTGTACCTGCAAAGACAAATCCCGCAAAACCATTATTGTATTAAAGCCTCGAGATGAGACCTCTAGGCCTATAATCAATTCATTGAACAACCTATAGGCCTAGCCTAACTTGAATTATAACTTAGTAGACCTAAATAATAAAAGTACTTAAGTGAAGAAGGCTTATTTCTACAGCTAGTATTCCTTGCAAATAGCTTACATGTAACATCATTTAATTTTTGACGTTCATCTTCTAGTTTTGTTTTTAGTTCATTTGCTTCTTTTGTAAGTGCCTCAATCGATTCTACTTTGACACTTGCATCTTGAGCCATTGTATGTAATGGAGTAACTTGTAGAAAAAGAAATCTTCTTGTGCTAAATAGCTTTAAAACCCTTCACTACATAATTCACCTGATTTGATCAACCAACTAGAAAAACTAAAATTCAATCGGTAAAATGACTTTTAAATAGCCTGCACTGTAAACAATTCTAATCTTGTTTATATGACTTGTAAACAAAAAGGTTAAGAGGTAAACATTAGTGATGCAGACGATGGAATAGTAGCACTCGACCTCGAGCTCAAGCAAGCAAGGTAAGATGGGGAATGTTACCAACTGTCCAACTCGATTTTTTTTTAATTTTATGATCTTAGTACTTTTTTATTATAATAGATTTAAACATATAAAAATGTAGGCAAAGTATTGATTATTTACTTTGACACCTAGCTGTGCTCAGATAACCAAATCAATTCTTAACACTGATCTTTTACCAACTCCAAAATCCAGCCGAATGGGAAAAACATAAAGGATTAAGTACAAAACAAATATTCAACCTAACTAGTTTATTTACAAAAATACAATATTAACAACAGGGTGAGTGAAGTGCGTCATCGATGAAATGATGATTGGCGAAGTATAGTGATGATTTTGTTTACGGTATTCGAAGTGTGAAGTGATGAAATTTATGAGGCTTTGGCTTAACCGTGGTGGTAGTGACCACCACCTCCATGTCCGTAATTGCCACCACCTCCGTGTCCGTAATGACCGCCACCTCCATGTCCTCCATGGTGTCCTCCACCTCCGTGTCCGTAATGACCTCCACCTCCGTGGCCGTAATGGCCTCCACCTCCACCGTGACCTCCACCGTGTCCATGGTGGCCGTGGCCATATTGGGGAGCAGCAAAGGAACAAGCCAGAGCAGCGACGAGCAGGAAAACCTATAACAATAAAATTTTGGATTATAGGTACCGGGTGTCCGAAAAATAACTCCCTAGTTTTGATAAACGATTGTTTATTGTAGAGAATACATATTGTTATATCTAATACATGAAATTAAAGAGGGTTTACTCAAGTTTATTTTGACATTAGTACACCTCGATATGTGACCCATTTGTAGCTCTACAGATATCTAACCGGTATTCGATCTCTCTCCAAGTGTTAGTTAACATATCAGGTGTCACTGATTCTACTGCAGCTACGATTCTTTGACGAAGATGGTCAATGTCACGTATCTTTTCTGAATAAACCAAGTTCTTAACGTAACCCCACAGGAAAAAATCCAGTGGTGTTATGTCTGGGCTACGCTCGTTTCCCGGCAAGATGGATGGGGAGAGCTGGCCCGATCGCGTGGCCTCCAAGAAGCCCAGACATAACACCACTGGATTTTTTCCTGTGGGGTTACGTTAAGGACTTGGTTTATTCAGAAAAGATACGTGACATTGACCATCTTCGTCAAAGAATCGTAGCTGCAGTAGAATCAGTGACACCTGATATGTTAACTAACACTTGGAGAGAGATCGAATACCGGTTAGATATCTGTAGAGCTACAAATGGGTCACATATCGAGGTGTACTAATGTCAAAATAAACTTGAGTAAACCCTCTTTAATTTCATGTATTAGATATAAGAATATGTATTCTCTACAATAAACAATCGTTTATCAAAACTAGGGAGTTATTTTTCGGACACCCGGTATTTACAAGTGCTGTGATAATGTTTTGTATATTCCGTTTACTATTATCAGTGACCAGCATTATTATATCCATTTAAAACTTTTCATGCGTTTTATGATTGCATAGTTGTACTAGTTGTAAAAAAACACCATTCCCTAAAATGTACTTACACTAATACAACACAATCGAATAAATCGTCTAAATAATAACACTGTTTAAATTAAAACGGGTTTCATAGGCAAATGCTTCTTCTCTGTTGATGTGTACTACTTTTACGGCACGTTTTTCTGTATGACGAGTTAACATTTAGATCTTTAAATTAGTTTTAAGGCTGTGACAATAATGTTCACCACACTATAAATCAAAATGCATAAGCATAGAATACAATAAGCCGCTCAACTTTTAAGAGTATCTTCATGGTAAAATGAGTTAATAACTTAAATATCAATTCCCTAACTTTCGTTCTAATTTCAATTTATAACGTAAAAAAAACTAATACAGCCATGTCCAAAATATAGATCTAATAATAAACCTCTTAGTAAGTGAGCGTAAATATACCTTATCTACTAACCTGAAAATATGAAAATAACCTAATGGCATTAACCTTGTGGAATGAGGAAATAGGAAAGCTGAATGAATGCTCATTCAATTCTAGATTTAAAGTCTCATTTCGACCGATGTAGTTAATTATTACATTTCTGCGGATAAGTTATTAATAATCAAATTTTTCAAATGATAAACCTGAGTATAAGTAGGCCTACGAGTTGTTTTTACACTAGCAAATTAAACGTTAAAAATTAAATATACATTATATGCCTTTAGATCAACTAATTTAAACCGATGTAAATATTGGTTTAAAAGTTAAAGTAAGAAAATAAACATCGGCTGTTTATTTTCTACATAGACTAATAATTTCCGAATAAATAGATATACTTTTTACATTCTTCTCATAACTGGAATTGCATTAAACTTTCAAAATGTGTTGTATTAAGAAAGTATTTTATCATACTCTAAGTAAAATATGAATTGACAATCTAATGCTAGTTTAGAAATTTGACTGTCATTTTTATCTTGATCAATTTACCATTATTTATTATGTTTTAACTATTGCAATATCGTTATAATTATTTTTGTTGCAACCACAAACAAAATTATGAGAAAGTCACCAATTATGAAATTATTCCCATGAACATGGTGTGCTAGTTTTAATCATCCTTGTCTAAAGTCTAATGCTTTACTGCTTCAGACTTTTTTTACTGCATAGCTTATGAATGTATATTGAACAACACGTACGTTTTCTGTGATTGAACACATCTAGAAGTAAAGTTTCATATTTCACATAAAATTGGGCACAAGAGACAATATGCATTGACAAAACATGGTTAGTCTATGATAAAAGTAATGGTCAATTAATGTAAAAAAGTTATTCGTCCCAATTACTACGCTTCTCCGATCGCTAAACAAAATAACTATACATTCGAAGACTTTTTTTGTGAACCCATTTTTAGCAAACGTAATTAAAACCAAGACAAAATCATATGTATTGAACACGTGGACTAAGATTATGTAAAGTAAATTTATTTTTACCAATGAAATTGTATAAACTAATTACGGATTACTAAAACCCAATTTCAACAATTATTTAAAATATTTAAATTGTAAGTACAGTCTAAACTTTGAACATTAACGTAACAAATCTAAATCTATTAGGTATCTAAAATTGAACATTAATCTAAACGTTTAATTAATCTTCAACGAGTAATAAATTATATCAAAACCCTATCCTTTTATCGCCTATTTTACTCGCCCCATTTCTATAAATGTTTTAACACTTTAATACACAATCAGCTATTATTTTACTTATACTTTTATAAGCAAAATATTAACACTTCTGTTTAAATGAAAACAGAATCAAAAGTTGTAAAAACTTACCAAAAGATAAGCCTTCATGTTGGAGCTAGTTGATGCTTGATTGTAGATCGAAGTCAGATATCCATGTCCACTTGGTTAGAACGTTTATATACGCTGTCCACTTCCCCCCCCCCCTTCACCATCGTCCGTTTGTTTACAAGCAGGGGGGTTGAATCAGCTGACAGTTCGGGTATTTCCAAGAATCCACTCCGTGGTCCTTCGAGCCGGTTTACTTCCAGACATACAATATTATCGTGTTTTACGTTAATTCTTCCTCGTAAACGTTTGTAAACGCTGAGTATAACTCGGATACGATTATTTCTTCAATTTATGAATTGTTTACCTTTTTGAATCAAATGCCAAATAAAAAAGTTCTTCATGTCTTCTGGTATTATCATTGAGGAATGAGCGCGCAATAATGTTAACCATATAATAAGAGAAAAGTCCCACATCAGTGCTGATCATGGGTAAGCATATTCAATAATTAATTGAGCGAAAGGTTTGATAACAAAGCACAATTTTGTCCGGTGTATTTTGAGTGTCTTTTAAAATTTTTTGTGTTTTCCCCATTATGTAGAATTGTTAGGTTTTTTCATGGAACGGTTTAAAAATTGATCGTGTATCTATCTAGCGTTGTCTTTTTGTTAGCTAGCATTGATAGTGCGTTTAACAGTTAACTATTTATCTCTTGGTGTTTGATTTTTAAATCAATTATGACCGATAGGAAACAATCATAGAAAAAACTGCTTTTCCTCTGGCGTTAATAGCCAAAAGCTACAGAACACGTTGCAAAATTTACATAAAAGTAAGAGAACTAGCTATGACACCAGTTCATCAACTGTTTTTAATGCAATTAATTCCATTATGTTTTGTAGTTATGTCATCCCCATGCATTGATAACCTATTAGTACAATTCATCAACAAAAGGCAAAGGTACAATAGTTTAGCGCGAGATGGACAGTAATAGAGGGTACGACTAAACTTGCTTTTCATAAAATTGTAGTATATTACGCATTTTGCCACATTATCATAAGGGATCAGTTGAAGACAATTTTTATTTACGTTTCCGGCTGGTGTATATAGACAATAGATAGTGGTTTGTTGTTTTACTATCACCGCTTCTCGTTACTTGACTGACTAAATAAATAACAGTAGGTTATTATATAGCTAAGTGTTGCTATACATGTTTAGACACGGTAAAGGGCAACTTTCCAGTCTATCAATACGGATGGAAAAGTACCTGCTGTTTCTGTGTAGGATGCGTAAAATAAATTAATGTGTTGTACATTTCCTGAAATTTGTTATGTAGGTGCTAATTCATGGTATCTACTACAGGCGTTTTGTCCACTTTTTAGGGACTTTGTATTTTAAAGGTAATTTAAAAAAAAAAATCCATAAAATAAGAGAAAAATCTGATTTTCTAGAAAATTGCCCGAACGATTTTGATAATAGGACTTCACATAACTAGAGGACTACACATTATGTTGTAGTCCTTTAAATTCTTAACAAAATGGTACAAACCCCATTTCCGTAAAATTACGGTTCCAAAGTTAACGCAACGTATGTACCCAAAAAACCTATAAAATAACAAAATATTGGTTTGTAATAAAATAGCACAAATCCAATTTCCATAAATATTACGGTTCCAAGGTATTGTAACTTAGGTTATTTCCCCATAAAAAACTTAAGCTTAATCAAATGGGGTTTCATTGCGTACTACCAATGGTACTACTACTGTAGTAATGAGTTTTACCGGACACCAATCAGCTGATTATACTGTATTTGAGTGGCAATGAGTGGTTATAACAAAAACATATGACTAGTGATTTTTATTTCTTTAGTTGGTGGCAATATATAAGGATTTGAACGGATTTAGTAGTATGGCGTAAACTATTGTAAGTCACTTGTCCAAAATGTGGTTTCCGGACTCTTATCGTAATCCCGTACTCGACTTTGTCTCGCACGGGAAATGCCACACTCGCCCGACAACCCCTTTTTCAGGATTAGTAACGTAAATACTACAGTATTACCGTGCACTTAGTCAGCTGATGAAATAAACAGCTAACTGCAAAGGCTTATTTTATTTTCTGTAATATAAAGAATTAATATAATTTGTCATGTCCTAAATAAATTGTGTTATGCCTTTATAAGTACTAATCATTCTGTGTGTAAAAAATCATCATCACCATGTCATTCATGACGATACAGAGTGCCATCTTCAGCGCGACTTGACTCCACACAGATGAAAAATCAAGTGACACTTGATCAGGTGATAAATCAGGTGATCGCGTGGAAGCCTATCCAGGAACATACAGTAGTATGTTTTATCTACGGTTCTAGCCCAGAACTGTTTACACGTTACTTCAGACTAGTCCTAGAGGATCTTGGCTTTTTCACATCATTGGTGATTGGCGGGATTTGAACCCGGGACCTCGGGCTCTGACGTCCCGCGCACTACCACTAGACCAGCTCGCTACCCAACTAAAAAAAATTGTCTTTGTCTAATCTAGTTTCAAAGTTTATTTCGACCGTGGGATAACTTTTCTCGATACACGATAGTTGTTTATACGATATTTGCTAACACTGTCACCCTGACGCGCTCAAACCAGATCTTTGACCTTGCCTAGCCCAATCGCGCGCGAGGTGCCCGATGCCGGTTTTGCTCGGTTTGCAATTATATTTGTTTATGTTCCACTCAGATTACCTTCGATCGGTTTTAATTAAGGAACGATTTATACTGGACTAACGAGAGGAAAATTGCAGAGAAACTTTGATCTGGCTCGATTTGGCTTTCTACCAAGTCATTGGCGAAAGTTTAATGTATCCTTAATCGAATTAGCATCGCTGTTGTGCGTGGTATGAGTCGGTGATTTTAAACGTTATGAGGGGACTGTCTACATTTTAAGAATGTTAAAATAATACACAACTATTTTTTACAGCTTATCTTCAGATTAGCTGGATTTGAACTTCTTTGATTTGTTTTGGCTTTCTATGGGAGTATTGGCGAAGTTCCATGATTCGCACATTCTAAAATACACCTTTTTACTTAACCACAATAAATACACAGCTTAGTGCACACCAATTAGTGCTTCAGGAAAATTGTGACTTTTACAATTAATTGCATTCAGTTTGCAATCAAGGAAACTTAATGTAAAAACTGTCTAACGTGCAACATAGGTTAGACGCACACGTGCACGGGGTTCATAAAACATGCAATTATCATACCGCATATTATAATTTATTGTCAAGTAAACATTGTAATAAATAATATAAAATCAGAGATTCAACAAACTCCCTGATATGTTCCTAATCCGTATGAATCAGATCGAATCAAAATTAAGATATGTTTCCAACCGACATCCTCTAGTGTGTTTTGGTGTTTTAAATATTTGTCGCAATTTTATTAGGGCTGTAAAACTATATTATGTTAGAATCAGTTTACTGTGTACTGTTATACTGTTCAATACTGTTCGATGAAATGGCGACCATAGTAGGTATTTTATGCCAAGTATGAATGGAGATGAATGTAGGATGAGTGGCGCGATCTTGTAGTCTTGTTAGTGACTAAGGCCGACATTCCTTAGACACAGCTGTAAATTAATAGCCCATACAGCTAATGGCAACCAAGGGACCTACAGTTTATAGTGGAATCCAAACCACATTTTTCCTTGGTATATACGAATTGGTCTAATTATCAGGATAGTACTGCGGATAGTCGTAGTAACAGTCGCAGGATAGGTAATGGACCTTTAGGGGTATCATTCCCATGGGTTATTGCGGTCGAACGAAAAGACTAACTGTGAAGTACAAAAAGTACGATAGTACTTTATACCGACAAGATTTGAGTTAAATTTATAAAAATCAGTTTTTTTATTTAACTGGTAATAGTATCGATGCCCTCATTTCATTTATTTGATCTTAATTTGATGTAGAGTCTCCCTCTAGTTATGCTCTACACGATGGAAGCAATACGACATATTTCCATTTTCATGTTTTAAGGGTAAAAACAATTAATAAACCTAAATATACTGTACATGGAAATTTTAAGGTGGTGTTTTGTTCTTTGGGGGCATATAATAAAAAAAGTCAATCGGTCTCTGTATTTTTTTATGTTTTTCTGTTCCCATACATATCTATGGAATACCTTTTGAAAAAAACATACAACACTTAACCTGGTGTCGAAACTGATTTTGTCAGATAATTTCGCAGTTTCCGTTTTTTGCGCCAATCAACCAGTTACAGCGAGTATTTAATTAACCAAACTGGCATTACGCGACGCCGCGGGAACTAACCTACATGCGGACGCTCTTTCCTCGGGGAAATACGTCATCGGACTATAGTCGCCCTCCAAAACGAGTGAAAATCTCTCTTTCCTTATGCAACCGGTTTAATGTGCTGCGGAAAGTTTTGTCAGTGCGAACTACAATCTACGGCTGCGATTAGTCTGATTCCAAAATCGGTTTCAATTATCAATTATCAATCATTGAGATGGGGACGCCACTTAGGTGCGTATTTTAACCCAAATATGAGTGAAGGATGAGTGTAGAATGGTATGTGATGACCTGTGTAGCTTTGTTACTGGCTAAGATTAGCGGTTTCATTAGTCAGGATCATTTATTTAAAGCCCAATGATCAGGAACAGCTGGGTCCAGAAGTTGAATAACCGCACAATCAACCACAATTAAATCATCATCAGTTGAATCATCAACCCACAATTCACTATTGGAAAAATATTAAAATCCTTACTTTAGTTGTATTTCGAGCAAACCATATAGGATGTTTATATCGTGGGCTCGTAAACGGTGTTCTCAAATTTGGGTTGGGATGTTCCGAGCCATCTAAAATCTCGAGCCATCAATGCAAGAACTTCGAAAGAACCAATCAAAGGAACAAGGAACTATCCTTCAAAGACCAACTTCGCATACAGTACTATAACCTATCCTATCATAGCCTATCCTATTCTCTAATACAATCAATGTCTATTTGCCTGTCTGTCTGTCTGTAATATACATCTCGAAATCCATCGGAATGATTTTGACTAAATAAATTTTGGCATAAGGGATTTATAGCCCTAAAAACGTGATTGGCGACAGCCACTACCTTAAGGAAAATTCGTGTTTCGCTACACAACTCGTTTGAAAATGTTCAAATTT